TGGCGGCGAATGGGGCGCGGGAGCACGGGGAGCCCGTGCGGCCGGGCGAGGCGGGCCAGCGGGCCCTGTACTTCTGCGGGAGCATCCGCGGCGGACGCGAGGACTTGGTGCTGTACGGACGGATCGTGGCGCGGCTGCGGCGCTTCGGAACGGTGCTCACCGAGCACGTGGCGGCTGCCGAGCTGGACGCGCGCGGTGAGGCCGCGGGGCGTGGGCTGCGGGGAGAGGAGCGGCCGAAGGGATGGGTGGCCGCCCTCCAGCTAGGGAGCTCCCTCCAGCGCCCCCGCCCGAGAAGGAAGCGGACTGGGGCTCAGAGCGCGTGTCCCAATACGCTTGCGGACGTGAGGCGGGTCTCGGCAGTCAGTTGTCTTGCCCCTCGGTTCCCTCCTGGAGAACTCTCCTCAGGCCGCCCCATCCAGGGCGTTTGTAGGCAGGAGCCCCGCTCAGTTCCCAACTCACCCGCTAGCATCTACTCCCCACCAACAACGAAGCTAATCCTCCTGCCTGCCCTTTTTCTGTCAGGGTATTATCGGCTCTCTCTTAGACCACAGACCAGACAGACCCGTTCTCGCGACCACCCTGTCTCACGTTCTCTGTTCAGGCTGTTACTAATGTGTCCTGCTCCTGGCTGCTGGGCCTTTATAAAGCACAGCTTTGATGCGCTGGTCTGCAATGTCTCAACCCTAATAGTTTGAATACTGTGCCTAGAACTCGTACTTCTGCTTAGAAAACCTTAAGTGGTTCCCCTTGCCTTACCCAAGAGCAGATTTGTGGGACCTAAGGCAATTCTGGGAGACTGACTTAAAAAGACAAAAAATCACAAAACATTGCTACGGGGTTGGAAAGGGACTGTACAGGTGAGGGACCCTGCATCGTAAGATTCATTAGCTTCATGGTATATCCCCCTCTGCCTGGTAGTTCTTGAATTTTAGTGTGCTAAAGTGCCATCTGAGGGAGCTTGCTTAAAAGGCAGATTCTGATAGTAGTCGGGATAAAGCCTTGGAATCTGTATTTTTAACAAGCTCTGCAGTGGTTCTGCTCTGATATGGGTGGCTGTTAACATCACTGTCCTAGAGGATACCATTTAATAAAGCTGGAACGTACAGTCCTTAACCTCTGACCCCACCTGGCTTCTCTTACCTTTGACCAAGTGCCCATGCACCTTTCCCTAATCACTCTGATCCAGTGTTAGTCTTTCCCGTATTCTAATCTGGCCCTAAACATACATCCCACGTAACACTGGGTTGAATTTTTCTTGTGGTTGTTCCATTCCCTCACTCCTTGTGATGGAATGTTAGTGTTGGCAAGCCACGGGAGGTCAGCTAGTACAAATCTTCCCCCTCCCTGAGCAGGGTGGATATGGAGAGTGGCAAGGGTATAGGAGAGTTAGTGAGTACTGAGAACCAGGGCAGGGTGTGTCCTTGACCAGCTTTCCCTCAACCACAGGTGAAGAGGCTGCTGGGGGTGATAGGCTTATCCATGAGCGGGACCTGGCCTGGCTGCAGCAGGCAGATGGTGAGTGGTCCTCCCTCCTACCTGCAAACTCCTCTGGATGTTAGATCTCCTGGACATCCCTGGGCTACACACCTACAAGAGACTCCCTAGATTTCCCTCCTCACCACAGCCACACTCTGTCATTTCTTCCTTATAAGCCCAAGTGCCCCAGATATTGAGCCTTGGTGTCATCTTTCTTCCCAGTGGTTGTGGCAGAAGTGACACAGCCATCCTTGGGTGTAGGCTATGAGCTAGGCCGGGCCGTGGCCCTCAATAAGAGAATCCTGTGCCTGTTCCGCCCACAGTCTGGTCGAGGTAAGCACCCCAAGCCCTAAATGACCACCTCTCCCTCCCTGGCTTTCTGTGGACCCAGTCCTCAGCTTGTTGGTGGACTCTGAGCACAGAGCCTACCCCCAACAGGGGACAGGGAGGGGCATGGAGTAGGGAGAGTGTAAAAGGGAGGCAGCTTCACCTTTCCCTGCCCTTGCCAGTGCTTTCAGCCATGATCCGGGGACTGGCAGATGGCTCGAGATTCCAGGTGTGGGACTATGAAGAAGGAGAGGTGGAGGCCCTGCTAGATCAATACTTTGAGGTTCAGCCTCCCCAGCAGGTGGCAGACCCAACCACTTGACTTAATCCCACTTATAAGTTCTGATCCCAGACACTGCTGCAATACCATTCCTGTCTCTTAGTCCCAGTAGCAAATTAAAAGGTATGTTGAAAATTCTAATTTTTATGTCTGTGTGTGGCGGCGGGGGGCAGGTCCTCAGTAGCATCCCTTTCCCACCTCACTTCACTTTAAGAGTAGAGAGACCCTTTAAAAATCTGAAGGCCCTCAAGAGGAGGACACCTCCTAATGTCCTCCAGCACCCCCAGGAACATTTAGAGTTTGGCGGAAGGCAGGTCGTGGGGGCTGCCATTCCTCTTCCGCCTCCTCTGAAGCTGGGCTGGGTCTGCACCTGGCCCTGTGCCACGCAGACTTTCACTTCCCTTTATGAGCGTAGGTCAATTGGGTCTGCTTTGGGCCTTCCCTGAGGACAGAAGAGTCTGGAGAGCTAAAGAATACAGTAAAGAATGAGGGGGCAGTGGGATATGTGTGGGACTGGGGGAGTGGAAGCTAGATGGCCCTTGGTAAAGCTTTCCAGCCTGCTTCAAGTGAATTATGTAGGGGGAGGAAAAAAAAGTTTATTCAGTATACAGAAGGTGCTATAGACACTGGGAATCCCTCCAGCATGACAGCGGGAAGGGGTGAACTCCCCAGCCCCTGGGCCCCTCATCCTGCCTTCTGCACCCTCAATCATAGGCCACATCGTCATCCTCCTCATCACCAAAGAAGAAAGTCTCTTGGTCCAGGTTCTCAGACTCCTCAAGTCTCTTGGTCCAGGTTCTCAGACTCCTCCTCATAGGAGAAGCTGTCATTGTCCAGCTCCTCATCAAATTCGTCCTGCTGCCACTCTGGCACGTCATCCTCATCCTCCTCGTCTTCTTCCTCTGGCCCTGAAGAGCCCTGGGGCCTAGGGAGAGCCCCACACTCAGCCCCAGAGGAAGCCTGGTGTCTCCCACTGCCCCCTCTGTGGCTCTGCCCACCCTACTCACTGACTGCCAGGCACATTGGATTCTTTTGCCTCTCGGGCCTCTATTGATGGACTCTGGAGACCAACCCGGAAATCCTGGCAAAGAGACAGTAGGATTTGGGGAGTAGGAGAAGAGGGCATCGGCCCAGCATTCCTTCAACCAATATTTTGAGACCCAGGCTCCTGCTTGGAGTGCTCCCGCCTGCTCTCACCCCAGCACTTCACAAACCACCAACATCATGTAAATTAACTCACAGATGGTCTGCAGGGTTACAGGATACAATGGTGAGGCACACACCACCCTGTGCTTAAGTAGCTTACAGTAGTGTGGGTTGATGTCTCTTCTACCCACATTGCTTACCTATCAGTAATCAACTTGAGGGCAGGACTCATAGTTTAGATTCAATATCAGTTAACTAGAGCTGGAAAGAACCCTGGAAATCCCTTACTCCAGTGATCCCAATCCCCTGGCCCCCACTCTTGGGATTTTGAATCCATATCTGGGAAATACAGTCTGAAAGTTCTCCAAGTGACTCTTATGGGCAGCTGGCCAAACATCCTTGATGTGAGATAACCAACCCCTTTATTTTGTAGGAAACCCTGGGAGGTGACAGGGTCCAGGCTGGCCCAGGAGCTGGGATGCTGTGCCCAGGGCAGGGTCTGTGCTGGGCATAGAAGGACCCAAGGCCCTGCCAAGTGAGGACAGAAGAGGCCAGGCTGGGGGCGGGGAGGTACCTGGGCAGAGTGCTGCAGGATGGCCAGCAGCCTCTCCTGAATCCGTCGGAGCAGCTCCATGCCCGTGCTGAGGCAGTCGGCCCGCAGGAGGCGCAGGGAGGAGGCCAGGTCTCTGCACCGCAGCAGGGTCTCCTCTGCAGAGGTGGCAGGCAAGGGGCTCCCTCCCTACTCTCATTCCATCCATTCCTTCCTTCAACAAACAGCTATGGAACTTCTACCAAGTGCCGGGCATGGCTCTAAACACTCATTCTCTTGACGCTCACACGCTAGTGACTGTACAGACCACAATCAAAGAAAACGGCAGGTGAATGTCTGTGCCCTAGGGCACAGCATGGACTTTAAAACTGAACTTTAAAAGCCAGATGGTGAGAAGGCTATAAAGCATGAAGAGGAAGAGGACAGAGGGAAGGTGGGGGCGCTGTTATACCTCTTTGTCTGAGGAGCGAGGGGAGTGTAAAAGGGAGATGGAGATGCTCAATGCACGGAGGGAAGAGGTGGGCAGAGAAGAGGCTAAGCAGGCAGGGGTGGGGCCCGGCTCACCAAGCAGGATCTGCAAGGCATTGGTGTGCAGCTCCAGGTTCTCGGTTTGCTGCTCCACCACGTCCATGTGCTCCGTGTCCTGGCTGTAGAAGCTGTACACGCAGGCATAGGCCAGCACCTAGAGGAGCACCCATCAGCTCTCCCTGCCCAAGGCCAGGCTTCTCCACTGTCCACCTGCCCTTTCCTCATTCCCTCCATCCAGGTGAGTGAGAGGAAAGCAGCCAAGCCCATCAGACCCCCTTGCACACCCCTCCCCACCCTCTCCCCCCACCCACTACAACCTTCCGCGCCTGCTCCAGTCCCTGGCAGGCATCATTGAGGAATGTGAAGGATTTGGGCGGGGGCACCTCATGGATGGCAGAAACCCGGTTCCGCAAGTTCACAGCAAACTCCTGCGCAGAGGAAGATATATCAGCAGCAGCACATGCAGCCCCTCCCCACCTGCAGGCCCTCCCCAGGTATCTGCTCCAGCCTCTCCCTGCTCACCCGGGCCTGGTGATGGAAAGTGCACCGCTCATTGTAGTCCTGAAACCGCTTCTCCTGGCGAGCTGCCTTGCTTACCTGGTAAGGATACATTGAGAGGGTCACTGGGTGCTTTGTTTGGATAGGATGGAGTTAATAATTAGAATATCCACCATTTGTGGAGGCCTCCTTAAGCTTTACCCACATTGTTCATTTAATCTTCGGAACTGTGTGGGGAAGGTCATATTATCTCCTTTTACATATGAGGCTGTTGAGGTTTGGAGAAGTACACTGACTTGCCCAATGCCACACATTAAGCCATCAGAACCAGGCTCTGACTCTAGTCCTTGCTCTTCTCTGCTGAGCCTTGGGGCCTCCTGAGGATGCCCAGCCCTCCATAGCCACCTTGCTGTAAGAAGTGCCATTCTGGAGCTGAGGACCCCTGTGCACAGGCCTCCCAGTACAGAATTCCCAGCACCTGCAGGCCCAGGTGGCTTCTGTCCCCCCAACTGAATCTTTATCCCAACAGCTATTACGCTGCTCTGGACCAAGTCCTTTCTGCTCAGGCCCAGCGGCAGCAGCCCATCCTGACTGCTCTTGGGTCTCTGCCCTCCCCCCTGTGCCCAGCCTCTTACCATGACAGAGCAGTTGTAATAGTCTTTGTGATTTGGCTTCCAGGGCTTGAGGCAGCGCCAGCAGAATCCATGATTGCACTTGGCACAGGTCATGCTATGGAGGAAGCTAGCTGGTCAGAGGGCCCTGCCTCTGGGAGTGCTGAGGGCCTGGACATACCACCCATGACAGCTGCCTCTGCCTCCCGCCTGCCATAGTGTCTGCTTAATCTTACCAAGCCCTACTGATTGCACCTTGCTTTTGAATCCCCCATACAGTGTAGACTTAAAAGCAAGGGAGGACTGTGAAGACCCAGAAAGCCACCCTAGAGGGGCCAAGTTGGGGCTGCTGAGCACCTGCCCTGGTTGGCTGAGCTTCACCGTAAGACCCACTGCCCTAGCTTCCTGCCAGGCCCCCACCTCTCCCTTGCCCACGGCACCCTTTCTTACTGCAGGCACCCCTCATTCTTTTCTATGGGGGCCTGACAGCTGGGGCAGCGTTTGGAGATGAGCTTGGCCAGGTGCTTGCTCTGGGCCTCCACACTCATGCCGTCATAGTAGCCACCATCATCGACCCACTGAGACATGTGACCGCAGCTGGCAGGGTAGTGTGCCTAGAGAAAGAAGGGGTGGTGAGGACACAGCTGAGCCTTGACTCGGGGTGGCACTGCTGGTGTGTGTGGGAAAGAGGGAGGAGGGACAGGTCACATTTGGGGGACTGGGAGGAGGAACAGAGCTCACCTGGGTGGCAGAGGATGAGGAAGGACAAGTCACAGTCTGGGTGTATATGGCAGGGAAAGGGTGCTGAGCAGGGAGTGTAAATCCTTGCTTAGGGTCAGGGCCGGGATGGGGCTCCCACCTCAGGGAAGCTACAGTTGAAGCAGGAGGCCCAGCCACACTTGGAGCAGGTGGTCCCGCAGCCCAGGCCTTGGCGGCACAGGATGCGGTCGCAGCCCTGGGGGTTGGTGCACCAGGTCAGGTTGGAGCAGCTCTCCACGTAGCCACGCAGGAGTGCCTTCTCATACTGTGGGGTCAGGGGCACCACAAGGTGAGGGCATGGCTCTCCAGGCTGCCACACCTCCAGGCCCCCAGCTCCCCGCCGGTCAGCCCATTCCCTGGGGGGGGGGCCCCTTTGGCTCTGCACTGGGGCCTCTCTCAGGCAGGAGGGATACCTTGGAGATGACTTCTGGTGAGGAGACAATGGCACGAATGAAGGCTCCGGTGGGCTGGGCAGGGCAGTCAGCAATGGGGCAGGTGCAGTTCAGCACGAGGTTCTGTTCGATCCGTGTTGTCAGGTACTCGTTCCAGCAAGACTAGGAGAGACAAAAGGAGGGCTGCTCAGAGACAGTGTGGAGGTGGCACCGAGGAAGGTGTCCTGGGAACTAACCAGCATCCCCTGTCCCCGCTCATTCCCTCCCCAGTGGTGGGGAAGGCCAGAGACAAGCCTGCTTCTTGGTCAACCTCAAAACCCACCCTAATCTTTTCGGCTTCCAAGGGTTTCCCTGGGATTGGTCCAAATTACAGCTGGCTTTGAGGATGTGTGGGCTACAGTTTTAACCTAATCATAATCACTGTTGGGGCGGATAGGTAGAGAATGGATAAAGAGAACCAAGAAAAAGGAGGAGGAGGGGGCTGGCCAGTTAGCTCGGTTGGTTAGAGCGTGGTGTTGATAACACCAAGGTCCAGGGTTCGATCCCTGTCACTGCCACAGGGGGGAAAAAAAGAAAAAGGAGGACTTAAGTTCTAAGAAAGACAGGGAACGAGCAGAAAGTTCAGAGGAAAAAGGAGGCCTGGGGAAATGCATCACT